CCACTTTTCGACCGCGCAGCCAGAGCAGCAAAGCTTCTTCAGCCGCGCGTCAGAAGCTGGTACAAGCAGCAAAAAAGGAAGCAGCAGACGTGATTTTGCAGCTCCTGCTGCTCCAGTTTGAAAGGAGCATGATTCACTCCGCTCTGGCTTTGCTCTGTCCACGGGCTGCTGAGAGGAGGATGGTCGCGCCGGTCCGCTCTTCTTGCAGTCAAACACCGAGCAACTTTCTGCTCTTCAATTGTTTCTGTGCACGATGTATTGCATTGCGCACTATTAGCATCAGTGTTAATAAAGTGAAGCCGCACTTTTGACCAGGGGGGCATTTTAAAGGGGTTCCACGACGCTTGCAACCAGTTCACAACAGATACACATGAACCCTGGCTGTAGGCGGGACCACCTGTGTATTTTTCCTGGATGACGCAATCACGTTAAGTGTTACAGCCAATCACCGAAACTTGGTAACGAAAAACCAAGGCATGTTTCGATACTCTGTAGAAACGAAGCATTTCGGTCAGTACCATAAAAGAACCGAAGTTCGGTACCTAGCCCTATTCATACGGGATCGGGTCGTGGAGGCAGCATTCTCAGCATACATGCCCAGACTTCCCAATCCACACACACCTCCCCTAGCTGCTCTACGGGACCCTGAGGCGACACCAGGCCAGCACAGAGACATGATCCCTCCAGCGTGTCCTGGTCTTCCTCAAGAGTAGATGCCTGAGCCACCTCAGCTGGCTCCTTTTGATGTGGAGGAGCAACGACTCTATGAGCTCCTCCCCGGGTAACTGAGCTCCTCACCTGATCTTGAATGGTAAACCCAGCCATCATGCGAAGGAAACTGCTTTCGACTGCTTGTATTGTGATATTGTCTGTTCGGTTATTACCCAGATCTCATGGCCTTACGTGAGGGTGGGAACGTGGATTGATCAGTAAGTTGAGAGCTTTGCCCCCTGACTCAGCTCCCTCTTCACCACAACAATCCGATACAGTGACTGCATCACTGCCGACGCCGCACCGATCTGTCTATCGATCTCAGGTTCCATCCACCCCTCACACATGAAGAAAACCCCAAGACACTTGAACTCCTCCACTTGAGACAAGGACAAAAAACAAAACAGAAAAAAAATAATTATTTTTCTTTGAACAGATAAAAAGTTTTTGCCCTAAAACTCACAGAAAGTGCTTGAACCCATGTTAATATTTTTTCTCTCAAGTGCTATTTTTGCAGCCTGAGCTGTAGCTGGACCAACCTGGTTGCAGCGATCAGTGCTACTGACTTTTATGCAGCATGTCCGCAATGCAGTTGCACTGCGGCCACACTGTAGATTTTGTGAGAGCAGCCCGATAATGGATTCCTTTTACCGTATTTTCACGACTATAAGGCGCACTTAAACGTCTTTTTTTTCCCTCAAAATGTGCGGTGCGCCCTTTGGTGCGGTGCGCCTTATGTGTGTTGTAACTGCGACTTTTGAGACCACCTCATTGAGGAGATGATGAAAGCGTGGCTGAGGCAGGTGTATGTGAGGAGAACAGGTGTTTTTTTTCCACGCATCACCATCGCTGTTAATCTGTGACTCCATGCGTGCCCATCTCACAGCTGATGAGAAAAACATGGTGAATCAAATGGATGCTGTGCTCACCGTTATCCCGGGAGGTCTGACAAAGGAACTTCAACCGCTCGACATCGGTGTGAAGCGGCCGTTCAAAGTAAGGCTGCGAGCGGCGTGGGAGCGATGGATGACAGACGGAGACCACAGTTTAATGAAAAGTGGAAGGCAGCGCCGGGCAAGTTACGACACCGTTTGCGGATGGATTGTAGATGCTTGGACTAACGTGTCTGCTGGCTCTGTTGTTCAAGCTTTCGCAAAAGCCGGCATTATTTCTGAGGAGCTGCGCTGCACGGAAAGTGACTGACAGCGAAGAAGGGGAAATTGGCATGTCTGATTTAGCGCAGCTGTTTAATTCAGAAACAGAGGAGGATGACTTTGATGGGTTTGATTAATACTTTGTAATAAATACATGAATAAAGCACAATCATACTCAGTTTTGCTCCCGCTGTATTTTTCTCCCTGAAAACGTAATTCAACAGCAGCCTCTGGGCAGGTCTCCTCCTCTTCACCGCGGTGGCTGGCAGGTGTTTTTTCATCTAAATAATCTAAATCTTGCAGCTATATTTGCTGTGATCAGTGGGAATAAAGTAGTTTTAATATGTTTTTAAGTGAGAAAGTCCACCTGAAAACTTAATAATTGCAGTCAGTTCATCCAGATTATCTATTTCTGTCGGAGGCGCTCAGACCCCCACATACCAGCGGTGCACCGACAGTAGAAATCCTTTCATCAGCAGCCTCTAGGCCGGGTAGCCTCCAGGTTCACCGCGGCTGCTGGCAGGTGTTTTTCATCTAAATAATTTAAACTGCAGGCACCAGGATACCGGTAATAAAAGCAAACATATTCCGTCAGCAGGTTTCAGGATTTTAAGTTAATTTAGGAGTGATCACAGCGCTGTGTCATCTGCGATGTGTCTGTCTCACGGCCAGCACCCAGGTTTGATTAATACTTTGTAATAAATACATGAATAAAGCACAGTCACACTCAGTTTTGCCCCCTCTGTATTTTTAAATACGCAGTAGAGGTATTTAAAGGTAGTAGAGGACATGTACCTGTATATAAAAAACGCGCCCTATAGTCCGGTGCGCCTTATGTGTGTGTTAAATACAGAAATGGGACACATAACTGAGACTGCGCCTTTTAGTACGGTGCGCCTTATGGTCGTGAAAATACGGTACTCCTTGTCAACCCAGAATTTTAACAAGTGTTATCTTTTTGTCTGCCGTCCCTTCTGCAGGTGTGTTTGGAGGCCGTGGCAGAGGGATGTCTGGGCCTGGACGGGGTCAACAGCAGCCATCTGATAAGAAACCAGGAAAACCACAGGGAATGAAGAACCAACACTGACAAACAGTCCTGCACTTATGCCAACATGCTGTTCACTGAGTGATCCCTGCTTCAAACAGGAGGATACAATTAACCTTTTGCTGTTTGATTTTGGTTTGATGTTGTAGAAAATGGGTCTGCAAGAAATGCTGTGCACAGTTTTTTTTCTCTTCTTTTAATTATGAGTCAGCAATTTTTAACACGGTGTTGGCAACCTTATCTTTTTCCATTTATATCAAAGTACAGATCAATCTGTTCCTATCTTGTAACAACTTAGTTTTGGCTTTTTTTATGATATTTTTTTCTCAGGTAGTTTTAAAAAAGTACAAAGCAGCCAGTCCCAAAATCTGTTGTATGAGTATTTCCTCACATTTTTTTATGTCTTTAGTTGGAACATTTTTCCTTTGCAATTGATATGATGACAGCAGTTAAAATAGCAGAATTTAAGCTGTAAGGGTTCAGCTAAATACTTTTTTTTTTTTTTTTTTTAACATTCACATAATGATGCATGGTAAAATTGTTCTGTTTTTTTAAGAAAAGGATTTTCAATTCTTCAGATGGAAAAAATCTTACTTTTGTTCTGATTTTGTAACAAAATGCATCATTTTAATTTATGTTCGGAACATGAAAATTAAAAAAAACTTTTGTGATAGTGCTTTTGTTTCCTGAAAATATCTTTGTTTTGGGGGATTTTTGTGTCCATCAATTTCCGAGCAATTGCAAATCTGTGGTATTCTTGCATCTAAGTAGTTCTTCAAACCCAACATTGTTTTTTGTTTTTGTTTTTTTTAATAGAGCAATTTTAATTCCTCTAAAAGGAAAATGAAAGAAAAACAATAATAACATTCCAATAGTATTTTTTTAATAAAGAAATCTGAAGTTTTTACTTTAAATATGGAAATAAAAGGTAGCAGGGTCGATTATAGAATTTATTTTAAAAATATTCTTTTACAATGAAGTTGAATATGTCTTAAGAGTAAACACTTTTTTTTTCTTGTTCTTCATGAAAAAAAAAAAAAATTAAAATGAAAAAGGTGAAAACAAATAAATTTAATTAAATTCAGTAATTTAAATTATATAATTTAATTTGCCGCCAGGCTGCTCAGTGGAGCAGTGGGTAGTACTGCTGCCTTTGCTGCAAGAAGATCGGATTCGATTTCCTTCCCGGCTCTTTCTGCATGGGGTTTGCATGTTCTCCTTGAGCATGCGTGGGTTCTCTCTGGTTACTCCAGCTTCCTCCCACAGTCCAAAAACATGACTGCTAGGTTAATCGGTTTCTCTAAATCGTCCTTAGGTGTCAGTGTGTGTGTGAATGGTTGTTTATCCTGTTTCTCTCTGTGTTGCCCTGCAGTATACTAGCGACCTTTCCAGGGTGTATTTTTTCAGTTTATTTATATAGCGCCAATTCACAACACATAATCTCAAGGCAATTCACAAGTTTTCTATCTAAGGAAAACCAGTTGATTGCATCAACTCATTGACTCGAACGCAATCCCTCACACTAAGCATGCTTGTAGCGACAGTGGAGAGGAAAAACTCCCTTTTAACTGGAAGAAACCTCCAGCAGAACCAGGCTCAGTGTGAGCGGCCATCTGCTGAGGCCAACTGGGGTTCAAGGAGACAGAAGCAGAGATACAAAAAGCAGCTGTAAAAGGCAGTCCCGGTCCAAGAAACACACAGCCAGGCAGACGAGCTCTGAGCCAACTCCCATGTCAGAGGATTAGGAGAGCACATCCAGCCAGTCACAGTCAGAGAAACAGGACTAAACTAGAAAACAGGCCGATCTCCAACATCTATAAACAAAGGTGTTGATGGCAGCAGCAGGTGTACCCCGCCTCTCGCCTGTAGACAGATGGAGATAGGCACCAGCAGCCCTTGTGACCCCGCGTGGGATAGAAAATGGATGGATGGATAATTTGCAGCCTCCTGTGCAGAGCAATTCTGGAAATGTCATAATTCCAGAAAACATGCCATAACAGGACAAGCACAAGCGTATCCTGTAATCCTTTCTTTGTTTTTCATAAAGGCTAAAGTTATTGTAATAGATAAATGACTTTATTAACAAACAGAAAAACTTTCAGGTTAAAGGATAACATGGAAACCAACTAATGTAATTTAAGGATAGTGTATTAAATAACCAGAAGAGCAAAAAAAAAAAAAAAACAACACTTCAATTAACAAATACATTTCAAAGAGTGTTTTTCTCCGAGAAGTTTCAATTCAGTTGTGAACCTGTGAACGTATTTAGTTTAGTTTCAGTTACTTTCAGTATAATTTTGAAACCTGAAAACAAAGGGTCAAATATAAGACATAAACAAACACTATTATAGTCCAATCATTAGTCAACAGAAACGTTCATAAAATCTTGATGGAAAATAAATCAATAAACAATTATATGCATTGTGTTTAGTTGGGTTAAGGTTACACTTTAATTATAGCAACGCTACTGTTTTTTCTCATTTAGTTATTCACACATCGTAAAGGTAACATGCATTTGTGTTATTTTATGAAGCATTACTACTTACAATTCACCCATCAACCCATCACAAGTTTATTCAACATTATCGCCAAATTGAAATAAAAACATTTAATACCACAGTAACATTAAATAAACACTTACTTTACTCAATAAAGAGCAGTGGTTTAACAAAACAAAATTCACCTTGCCTTGATGTGACTCAATGAAACTTCCGTATTTAAGGAACAATGCAAAGAAAAACTCACCACTAATTAAGAGCGAAGAAACTTTTTTCTTCCTTTTTTTTTCAGAGAGCAATTATTCAGTCTCACTGTTCGAAAGCAATGAGGTTTATGCAGCATTGTAAAGGTGCTATATCTGATATCTGCTGGTAATTAGCACAGACAGGATGCTTCAATAACTTCTGATTTCTTTACTCTGATCAGATGACATACAGCAACCAATATATTTGCAAAAAAACCCAAATAGAATCAGAAAAGAAACTTTACGTAGTCCTAATCAATTACTTATACGATCACAATTCACCTTCTGCATAGGATAATTAACTTCCAACTTAAGTTTAAGCACTCGTATTACCTATGTCAAACAGGACCGCAACATCAAACACTGCATCAATTAGAGTGATTAAAGCAAAGGGCACAGCACCGCTCTTCATCACAAGGGGGCTCCCTACGACCGAATTTAAACTA